CGTGCATTTCATCAGCATGATGGAGATGCACTACCCTATACTACAAGGCTCATGTTGATGTGACAGTCATCAATCGCTAGTCATCATTATCCTTGGGCTAGTAAAGTGCAGGCCGATCGACGGCACGTCGGTCCAATCTACAGACTATTCGGAACTCTGACTGAGCCAATCAGACTAACTCGTCAGTCAGTCCGGGACCGCGTAACGGCTGTGTGACAAGTGCAATCAAAACTACGAATTGCCCCAAAACAAAGAAGGAACCGAAGATGAAGCGGAGGAAGGGAAACCCGACACTCCCTCCGAAATCCGACGAGATACCCAAAACCCGAAATATTGTCCAGGCTTGAGATGTTACTAATGTGAACCAGAAACCAGAAGAAGTTACCGTATTCAAGAGAAGACGCGTCATAGAGTCCTTGAGTTGCACCATGTGTTCAATTCCTTGAGAATATGAATTTATCATGAAGTCGGTCGCGCGGGAGTTTGTGCCGCTAAGAAAAAATTCATGCTGTGCAGAAAATTCAGACCCCCGTCCTCTCCTTTGTAAAATGACTACTCGACGCGTGGCTAGTGAGAAGCTTGGTATCCCGATTGATGCTCCTCCACAGTTGGTGCGGTCAGCATATCGAAGATTGGCCCTAAAGCTACATCCCGATAAGAACTTTACTTTAGATGCTGCGCATCAATTCCAACAGGTCAGATTCTCGCATAGTTTCTTGCGATTGTAAATTCCGTAAGCTGAGTTTGCCTGCTCACCGCGTAGGATAGGCGCATGCTCGAATAGAATGATCTCCAGCCCGTCGAGTACAGAACCGAAGCTGCTCAAATGTAGAAACTATCGTAGTAAAAATATGGGGCGTACCACCAATTTGATAAGAAAATCCACAGTTGCAGGAATGCATACCCAAGGTAACATCGATTGTTCGTTATTGTGCGATTCTAGAGCGTATATTACATCTGTACATCGTCCACACTCGGGTGCATACTTCAAAGTGGTCGTACGAGGCTCTCCTAAAGGTGGAGCGAATGTGAACGTCACAGATATTGGCAGCTCGAGATATCATGCTAGAGGAGGGTGCTGTCACCCGTATGGACCCATCGCCAGGCTCTTTCACCAGTCGTGAACCTCATCACAGGACAAACAACGCCAAGCAATTATCTCGTGAAGAGAAGGAGAGACTTGATAGGTGCCGTGCACAGGGATAACTGGATACGCATTCGAGGATTCCTGTAGATGCTTCTGGCGATACCACATGGAAACGTGGGGATCATGGAATTGCAGGATCTGCGAACAAGAATGTTTCAGGCTGCGCAGGTATAACTGGTAGCTGCTTTGAGCAGGATATATGCTATGTGAAGGGATACACATGAATGTGAATGTGGCCACCGTCTCGCACAGCATGAGCCTACCACTCAATTAGGATACTGCTCTATACAGGGATGCA